GACGATTGTGGGATCATCAAATCCTCACTGAGAATTGATGGCTGTGGCCGCAGGGAAGCCGCTTCTGACGGCCATGTGTGGGCCATCACGGCGAGATCGCCGGGCTGCGGCGGTGGACTTTATCCCGGGCCGGCCGCGAGTAAAGCTTCTGGTGGTTACGAAAGACTGCGCAGTGATAAGCCAGGACAATGAATGCTGATGGGCGAGGTGACAAAATTGCGGGCGGCTAACAGGACAAGGCCTAAGCGTTAATAAGAGCGAAGAGTTGAATGCTGATGACGATATCGTCTCCGATGGGGATGATTTGGTTGTTCCGACATCCCAGCGATAACGCACCCATTTTCAGCCCCGAATTGGGGTGCCTTGTCCGCTCCTTGAGTCCGTTGGGGGTCAACCCTGATCCTAGCCGGCTGTGCTCCTGCGTGCCTCCCGAGATTGGCGACATTGACCCAGGGGCACATACGTTAGGTGAGCCAGATGTTGCGTCTGTCCGGTCCGTCACAAATGATGTCTTGAGTAGAGGCATCCCGTTGTTACTCCGGCCGTTGACAAATTCCTATCAAAGAAACTGGGCAGTGGGGGATAATGTGGTGACTCAACTGTCAGGGGATGCGGCGGCTTGCGTGTCCGTTCCAGCAAAATGTAAGCCAAGATGACGGGGACACAGTAACCAGACAGCCGGGGGCCCAAGTTATTCGTGGCACTACCTAGGAGACACTCTTGTCGGGACTGGGTTGACTGCCGAGGGCTAGAGACGTCCTGGGTGAGGACGAAGGGAGCTGCGTCCGGAAAGAGGCAGATTGGAATCCATCTCAAGGACAAGACAGCTGAAGGGGGATATCGACCGCATGGGCCAACCCAAAGTTGGATTTGTCCGTGGCTGATTGCCGTAACTCCTGCAGTAGAGCAGGTACGTCGACACCATCTTTACAAATCGAGTATTAACGGCCCTTGCTCAGTTCCCTCACATGACCTGCGACCTATTGGCAGGCCTGATTGTGTCCAGGGACAGGCGGCGCGAGCTGGTTTAGTTCAGGAGGCGCGTATTTCGAAGCAGAGCACAAGTGATGGGGCCTTGGTTTGCCGCATGCATTGCGATCTCCGCAATAGTGCAGCATCACGGCGAAGAGGTTAGCAAATTGGTAGACGCAGGTATTGCCATGTCCGGATTACGGCCAACCCGTCCGTCCAGTGCTAGTCTATGACGGCGACTAGCCAGTCGGGCGCGGTGCAAGACGGCGTGGCCTGAAGCCAGACAGGCCACATGGGCTTTAGCGTCGATGTATAATGCGATGCAACGCGATGCTATGCGCTGCGCTGCACTGCGCTGCCTGCATGTGCTGCATGTTCGAGGGCGCCCGCCCAACTACAGCATCGAGCCAGAACCTGCCCGGGACCAGACCGAGGCGGACAAACGTGTTTGGGGGCGGTGGAGGGGCAATGAGACCTGTGTGGATGAGGGCGTGGGGATTGAAAGGGACGGTTCGGTCCCTGACATCCGCATGGTCCACACTGAAGATATCCACACAAGGGACGTCGGTTTCGCAGCGGCTAAGGGGTGACGGGTGAGGGGAAGAGGCTAGAGGCATGGTTCGATACTGATGTCTTCTGAAGTAGCGGTGGGTGAGGATAGCATGGGGGAAGCCATCGGACGATATGACGAGATGTCAGTCTCTCTGACAACGGTCCTGAGGTGACAGTGTCGACGCCTGTACAGTACCTCGTTGACTGAGGAAAGTCTCCGGTTGACCCATTATTTACTCAGTCCCCTTCGGCCCTCCCTTGTCGTCATCGTCGTCGTCGTTGGCAGAAGCAGCCGTAGAGGATGATCCGTGAATGCTGTTGTGGTGCATTAGAGGCTCGAGGCCGCATATGAGAACAATTAGTGTGATGCAGACAAACAAAAAAGAGTCAGGAACCATGCTGGCTGTTCCTGGCTGGCGCAAAGCGATTTGCAACCGAGCCAGACTGTACCCAACGGGCTGGGCTGCGGCAAGAGAATCAAAGATGTGACTTGGTTTGTGTGGACCCGAGGTTTAGGAGGCTTGTGCATGCGGCCCTTGACCTTGGGAAACCCCCGATTGCCCAAGAACCCACTGGGCCAGCACTGACGGCTTGCATAGCTGGGCGAGACATGGCAAGAGATGTAGATATCTTGCATTTGTCTACTGTAGTACGTAGGCCAACGACCAGTTGAATGCCATCCCCGCGTAACAGTTCATCCCGCAGTGGTGCAAAGACACTCGGTACCAACGTATCGGTGCTTGTTGAGCGTCGAACAAGGCGGTGGATGCAATGTCAAGCAAGTTCCAATGCCGTCCCAATTGCGGTCTCGTATGACACCGGATGCGACCCAGTGCTCTTCATTCCTGCTGCTCTGCATGGCAAGCAAGGGCGGCCTGAAACCGTGTGACTTGGCCGGCCGTAGGCGATGAGATGAGAGCCGTCGCCCGGTATTTCGCATCCCGAAGCTCGGTTGAAGGAACGGGCTGGGCAGTGACGCCGTGACAAAGTCGATCTGGCAGTTGAGACAGTGACGATGTGACGACGTGATATCTAGTGTGGACGGACGCCGGGCGGCCATTCCAACCTAAATGGCTGGGGATGGGGGAGAATCGGAGGCGTCAACAGACAACAAAAGCCGGCAACGAGTTGAAAGAAGGCGGCAACGACAAGACGACCGGGTGGTCCAGACAAGGCTTTGGGCGGATCATGATGAGGCAGTTTGGGTGTCTGCAAACGGCGATGGAGTAGAAACGGAGTCAGTGTCATCCGAAAACAGCTAAATGGCGGCGAGGGAGTGGCCTCCAGGAGACGGGACGACTAATTAACGGCCATGGATGCTTGGAGGTGGTGGGGATGTGGACGGGATAGAGCAACAGACCAGGCCAGAGGAGAGAGAGCAGGGGCGTTGCAAAGCGTCAAGGGCAGACCAGGTTGGCAGAGCCCGAGCCCGGGCTAGCGTGGCTCGATGGGTGTTAATGTGTTTCTCTTTTAGCGATGGAAGCCTTCGACTGTTTCCGCCCCTCCCAGAGGAAGTGTCACGATGGGGTCCCTGTGGAGCAATGCTGAAATTCGACAGAACGTGTTTTGCTGCGTCCAAATCCTGGGTGCCTAAGGGAAGGGATGAGGGATGGAACACGTCCGCTGATGACAGGAGACTCGAGAAAGGGCCATAGATAGCAGTGGACGCGGGTTCTTGCCCATGGAACTCTCCACCCCGAAGCGCTTCTTCCCTTAACCGACTGACCCCTTCCTTCTCTCTTCCGCTCGGTTGGGATCGTCCAGACGGGCTTCTTCAGGGTTTCCTGCCTCTTCGTATACACTACATCTCCACCCCGAGCACATTCTGTCCAGGGGAGGAGTTTTGGGAGGTAGGCGTGGATGCTGTGTGTGTGTGTGTGTGTGTTCAGACTGAACGCGGGGACGGCTTGAACACACCATTTGGTGGGTTGAGCTCCGGGAGAGAGAAACACTCGCAAACAGCGACAACTTCCTCACACGAAGGCAAGAGAGCGTGGTCGGCACACCTTGAGACACGGGTGCTATCTGCAATGTAGTGTAAAGTTCTCCTGCCTGCAGACCGCGCAGAGAAGGGCAGAGAGTGGGAGAAAGAACGAGCGGTACGTACCGTCACTTGTCACTTCCGCGGTATCCACCTCGAGAACCATTCCTTCCCGAAAACACTGTCCTATTGGATGGCATGACATGCCAGTTTGGATGTCCACCACATGTAAAAGGGGGGCTCGAAGCAGGATGGACAGGGGGCAGGGTGTTCCTCCCACGTTCGATTGGCACTGGCCCGGGTCCCGGTACTTGCTGCTTGCACCTGCCGCCATAGCGTTGCGCAGGTACCGTTCGTTCTTGCGGTTTGCCATCCAAGGATGCCCGGTTTTTTTCTTTTCTTTTCCTTCTTCTTTCCCCTTCGCTTTGGTCTCTGATCCTGGCTCTACCACCTCTGAGAGTACTACGTACTGACCATGTCCCTGGCATCCCGAGCTCATTGCGGCAACGTCCACTCTCGGAGGTATTGCAACGTAAGAGAGAGAGAGAGAGAGAGGGAAGAGAAGAGAGGTATAGGGGGAAGTGGCAGAAGAGAGAACGCCAGCAGCGTCTGTCGTTTGTGGCATTGCATGTCATGTATGTGGTAGTCCAGGTGCGCAAACCTGGCTTAATCTCGCCTACCGCATAGTACGGACCGCTCCTGGGCGGCGCGCCCTTACTCTTCCCATTCTACCTAATCGTCTCTTGCTTCGTTCTCTTATTCGCTTCCCGACCTTAGTCCCTCTCCGTCGCCTCCTCTCCGACTCCATGTCATTGCGGGTTACCTATGGAATGGTCCTCCGTCTTCAACAATCGTAACCCAAGACCCCCCCGGATCCATCCACTCCATTCGCCGTTAATGACAACAATCTGTACCCGTCGCAGACAACGCCCTCCTTCACATTTCCCCGTTCCGTTTTCTTCTCGAACTCTTGCATTCCTGCACCTCACACGCTCAGGGCATCTAGGAGCACATCCCCTTCCCACCTCCATCTCTCACCCCCCTCCCCTCTGTTATTGGCAGCCTTCTCCCACCACCTCCGACCTCTCTCTTCCTTCACCTCCGTCAGCCAGCCCGAATCTTTTCTTCTTCTTTTGCTCCGCGCCGCCCATTCTCTGTTTCAACACAACTTTGTGTGTTTCCGACGCGCAAGCCAAGGGCGCTGGTTAGACAGAGAACTCGGAGCGACAACTGGTCCCTTAGTGCAGATCCGAGAGATACCGAACCCCGATTTCGACCATTACACCGGCCGCCGTTTTTCTTCTGTTGCATGCGCAATCGCCATCCCCTCGTTAGACTGCGTCCTGTTCACCACCGCCGACGCCTTTGCTCCAGGATGCCTCATTAATCCACCATCTAACCACCTTCGACTCCTCATTCGTTTCTCTCCAAGGGCAGCAACGGCGCCCGTCCCGCCTCTTTTCTGTTGTTATACCGTCAAGGCAGAAAACCAGCCATGGAAACGTGCGAGGGAGTTCTTTTGATCCCCCCTGACCGGGGTCAGATCCTAGGCCGCGCCATCTGGAAGGTACAAACCTACTCTTCTCCGTGCTTTTTGTCGTGTACTCGAATGTTTGCCTCTGACTGCTTTGCTTCTCTCTTTCTTAGCCACGATATGTAGTCGTTGGGACTCGCAACGTTCACAGAGAAGCCGTCACCAGCCCCACGTTTCCTCCAAATACAAACACAAACACAAACCGCAATGGCGCCCCTCCAAAAATCCAGCCGAGGGCTGCCGCCAACGACGACTATTACGTCTCCATCTTCAAATCCAAGGTAAGGCTCAACACGACGGAGTTCTCTGGCCCGAACTTAAGTCTCCTGAACTTGCAGGACGATTGGGAGCCCTCGTACCAATACCCTGTCAGCTCTATCGTGGACTGTCAGGTTCAAATGCTCGCCCATCGCAAACAAGGCCCCGTTCTGCCGACTCTCGTTATTACAATCAACGACAAGGAGAAGAAGCGACGATCGAGCAGAGCTGCTGGTCTGATCTCTAGCAAGGAATCCACGGCGACTACCTTGTGGTTCCGCACGCCTCCCGATGATCACCACATCAGTCTCCACGACTGGGCCCGTTTCATTATTTCGAGAAAACTTCCCATGAGCCCCGAAAGCCCGGCCTCACCATCTTTTACCAACCCGTTTACACAGCAACGGTCGCGGGATGTTGATTACTTCCCACGACCTCCCAGTGGAAACCCGAATTCCCGTGGCACCTTGCAACACAAAAACTCGACGCAGACGTACTCTAGCCGAGATCGCCCTGCTACCTACAGCTCCGATTCTCCAAGTCTGCGGTCCAAGCGGAGCGATGTCTCGTCACCAACAAGCGCCAATCACCCAGCGCATGTAGGCTTTGCCATGCCCGATCCCAACAAGTACACCACAGTGCTCCCGTCCGATATCCCCTCGCCTGTGGCCACAATGAGCGATTGCCAAAGGAGTGAACTGATTGAGGGCTGGACAGCGGCACAAGGGAGATCGTCTACAGTCAGCTCGCCGATTCGTGGACGGGGCAGTGTCAGCTCTGGCGGCGCACAACCTTTCCCTGGGGCCGATTCCAGCTCACCACCAAACCCACGAGAGACGATTCTCGATAGAGCCTTCCAGTTGCGTTGTATCCCTGGCTCTGAACGTGAGACACCAGGCGAGGAGAAACTCACTTCCCTGGCGCGGTTTGATGCCTTGATGCGCGAAGCAGATGAAAAGATCCGACATCAGGTGAAGGAGGCGCACGCCGAGAAGATTGCGATGCTAAGCGCATTCGACGTGGATGAGGATTCTTCGGAGGACGAGACAGAGGACGATGATGACGAAGACGACGACGAAGAGCAGGAACAGTATGCGCATGAAGCGGACGTCAACGGCAACCGCCAGACCTTGATCCCCCCAAACGCTCAGCGCGCCCTCGAATTTCTCGCCAGCCGCCAAGACGAGACAATGTCGCCTCGCTCAGCCGTGATGAGGAGCCCACCCGCCAACTTCAGCGTCCCCTTGCAGGCACCCACGCGGCCCCATACGGCTCATTCGAGGATGCGGACGAGCGTAACGCAAAGGACAACCAGCCAGACTCAGCCCATGGGTCAGGAAAGGCTTGATGTGCCGATCTCTTCATCCGGTAAGACATCCGAAGATGCCAGCTTCCGAGCCAACGGGGAAAAGCGGGCGTCCGGCTCCAGCGCCAAGCGACTTAGCTTCACCGAGTTCACCAAGCGTCTCTCGAGCACCAGCAGCTTACTTCTCGTCCAGACCAACACCAGCGGCGGGAGCAGTCGCGGCAGCAGCGAGTTCGACCCAAGTCCCTCACAGGTACCCAAAGGTACTTTGAACGCTAGAGGCGTTCCCCCGAGGCCTCGCGATCTCGAGCGTGAAGAGCAAGAGCGGCACTGCGGATGGCGGAACAGCGTCGGATTTTGCGAGGGCGGCTTGATTTGACGGGACCGGTCGCCCTCCATCCATGCCTTCTCATCACCATCATCAAGTCTGACTGGACCCGACTCGATCTCTTTCCATCGTTACCATTACCACTCGGCCTTATACCCAACCTACGCCACAACATGGTTGACATATGTTGTATGATTTTTTATCTTACGATACCATTGTTTGCATCTAATAACGACTTAATGATTCGGGTTCACAGAAATGGGACCTGGCGTTTGATTTCGTTCTTGTTCATTGCGCGTTGCTTTTGCAATTGGGCTTTACACGTCGTTTCAGAGAGGGGACTTTTTGTTTGTTCTTTTCGTTTTGCTCTGAGGAAACACCATTTTTAGAGGTCTGAAGGACCTGGCGGATGTTTGACAGACTTGCGCGGTACACGTTGTCTGAGGTACGGCATACCTCTCCTTTCATACGTACACTACATTATTGCGACCCATCATTCCGTCACGATAGGGAAGATTCGTGGGATGTTCCTCATGACATGCCGGTGGTCTGATCTGATCTGGAACCCGTTTACGTTCAGATGAACATACAGAAATTCTCAGTACATAGGAGTAAACGATACACAATTGAATGAAAACTCAATGAACAATCTTTGAACCATCATGAAACACTCAGTCTCCCCGTGGAAGAAAGTCCTGCTCAGCGAGTAAACACCCACCAAAGGAGATTGAAGCGGCGGTCAACAGCCTCACTGGCAACCATGACGTCCCCGCTCATGTGGCACCGTTCATCTCGCTCTGCCCCCATTCCCAAAGCCCCATAGCCTGTGCCCTCGGGATCGGCAGCTATGGTTTCCTCATCCTGACCATGTTTGCGATTCCCACGGAAAGGCCCTCCTCCGACAAGGGTCGACGAGTCCTCTGTCATCATCACTGTAACCGTCTCTATGTAGTTTATGAATCCAGGCAACCATGTAGAGGGAATCCCCAACCGGTCTCCAACGGGTCCCCAACGGGCTGGGCAAACGCCCCCACTACTACGGAGTAGCACGACGAGTATCCACCACGAACCTCGGTGGAAAAGAACGAGGGGGGGACACACCAAGACTACGAACGCCAACCACGGACTGCCAACCCAGATCCAGGGTAAAGGCAAACCTAGAAAGGTCAAGGTTCGCCACCAGGGCCCGTGACACCGCAGACGGGCGGGCTCCAGGGGCCAGGGGTCCGGAGTCGGTGAAGAATTTTTCTTCTTGACGTCTTCCTTCTCCCGTTCCCCACGTCTTCTAGAACGAGTAGGACGAAACGTTGCAGTCATCGAATCGGCGGCGCCGGTGATGCCAGGGAACTGTAAAAATAAAATAAAAAAGGACATGGTCCAGGGCTAGGGAGACGGATGAGATTGGGCACGCGCTGGTCTAGGCTTCTTGAGCGGACGTGGTATCCGTATCTTGACATGCTAGTCTGTCGGTCTGCACAAAAACATGGAAAGCGCACCCTGGCGAAAAGGTGCAACAAACCTACAGAGCCGACGACGACGCTTTTATCCGGGCACTCGGGGGCGGCCTAGGGTATGGACGCCCGGGGAAGGGCTAGGAACGAAGAGTCAGGCCCCCGTTTTGGTCGGCCCGGAGCGGTGTGGAACGTGCGGAGCAGACGGCGGTCGGCGCCGGGTGGTGCAGACGACATGCCTCCTGACTCTGGGAAAGATTGGCGGCCAGCCATCTTCCCTTGCCCCAGGGAGGTCAATATTCACGTACGTACAAGCCCGCCACTGGAACGTGAGGAGACGAATGCCACAGGCCAAGCCTTTTGGGAAACGACTTGCTTTTACTTTTTCTATGCTCGATTGTAAAGAGGGGAAGGCGCTTGTCGCCAACACCTCCATCGGCTCAATGTAAACATACTCGCGCTGAAAAGACTTGGAGAGCTGGACCTGATCGGCAAGCTGTAGCTTCTGGGCCGATTCATACCCTCTGTCCAGAGGTCGTGATCGAGTTGCTCATGATATTCCCTCCACCGCAGACGCCTGAACTCAATTCGTTCCTGCTGGGAGACCCTTTCCTATTCCTCCCAGTACCCATCTGACGACGCTGTCCTGCGCCTTTTGTCTCATTCACAACCCCCACAACGTGGTTCCTACTGCAACCTCTTCCATCCACCATAGGCCGTGGAGAATGCGCGGTCGTCTGGCAAACCCATTCCACCGCTCGGTAGCGTCTCCTATTGCAAGTACTGCTGCAGTGCTTGCTGCTGCTCGGGCGTCAGACGCGTGTTGACAAAGTTGACGATGGCACCGTTGTGGCGCTGGTTGGCGGAGCTGATGTACGCGCTAACCCAGGGAGCCACCGCGGTGACCTCCGGGTAATCGTCGCGCGCAATCGGTTTGCAGGTGTTAAGCGCCGTGTAAGACAGACCAAAGCCAATGTCGTCAACGTCAGCCTCGGCGATGAGCTCGTCACCAAGACCAGCCGACACCACAGGCGGGTTCACCAGCAGAGCGAGAAGGATCTTGCATGTGTTGGCCCAGCCCTTGGCGAATTTCTGTGCGAAAGCCTGCGACTCGCAGAGAGTCTTGGTAAGACTGACCACTGCAAGCTTACGGTCAACAGGGCGTGCCAGCTTCTCTGTCTCGGCCAGGACAAACGGCGGGTACACCTTGGCAAAGATGCCCTCTTGGATCTTCTCAGAGTGCTTCATGAAGTAGTCGGCTCCATAACCAACCTCGACGCGGGCCGAGACGAGATGGAAGAACCGAGCGAAGCGGAGCTTCAGTGAGTCGGGAGGGTTGCCCTGCAGCTTGGCGAAGATCAAGCTGAGGATAGTACCAAAGTACTGGTCGACAACACCGCTAGATCCGGTTAGCACAGTGAAACGATATTACAGTGAAGCGATGACTTACGGCTCGAGAGACTTCACAATAGCCTCCAAGACGTCGAAAGCGTACAGCTGGTACTTCTTGAGGGCGAGAAGTCTCTGGAAGATACCCAGAATCTGCTCGAGCTTGTTGTCGGAAACAATGTAGGCTGCAGTCGCTGGTATGATTGATGATAGAAGTCGGGTACAGGCCGGGACGTTGCCCTTGGTGTCCCAGAGCGCCGGCTCGAGAAGAGGAGACAGGAAAGCCTTGTAGTTGTCCGAGATGGCATCTGCAGGGCTTGACTCCAAGAGCTGCGCGAGGATCTGGAAGATGTACTGTAAAAACTCTGTGAAAATGTCAGCGGTGTTTCGTTAAACACTCGAAGTGAACGAATGTGACGTACCAGTAACGTCCTCAACCAGAATCTGGTTGAACGGCTCCCAGAGACGCTGATTGAACAGAGACGCATGCGTTGAGGAACAATATCTGACGAGTGCACCGAGAGCCTCGAAGTGGTAGTAGTAGAAGCGCGGGTTGCTGGGGTTCTGCTTGATCATGTTGGTGATAGCAACCAAGTGATTCAGGACACCGTCGACGAGAGGTGCAGCTCCATCCTTGAGGACAATGAGAATTCTCATGACACATCGCATCAGAAACTCGTTCTCTTGCAACTTGGCAGGCGTCCTCTCCTTCTCGATCAACTTGAACAGGTGGTCAAGCAGGTCCTTGGCGAAGGGCTGAATGTCCTCGCGGGGGAACATGGCCTTGCCGGAATCATCCGTCAGAAAGAGCAGACGCTCAACCGCAATGGCAGCATACGAGTAGACAACATAGTTGTCAGAAGCCAGGTTCTGGATCAGAGGGGGGAACGCCAACTTCCATTGCTCCTTTGTCAATTGACTGCGGAACGTGTGCAGGTACTTGATGGCGTCGACCTTTGAGATGGGCTCGACGCCTCCGCTGGCCATCAGGTCCGCTGCAATGTGCTGCTCAAAAAAGTCAACAACGTTGACCAACGAGTTGACTGTCTTGACACCCTGAGCAGCCGTAACCGAGCCCTTGGCAGCAATCGAGATGAACAGGTATACAGCTGTGTCTTTTGCCTTCCAATCAGACTTGCCCTGCTCCAAGTAGTGGTTGATGTACTTGTAGACAACGCCAGTGACCAGCTGCTCGTACTTCTCCTGAAGTCTCCTCAAGAAATCAGTGGCAGACCGGCGTCTGGAATCAGTGTCCGAGCCCTCCAAATCCCGACGGATGTACTCAATAGGCTCATCCTCGAACAGCTCCAAGTCGGATTCGCGCAGAGCAACGTTAGGCAGAATAACCTTCTCGACTACTTGACCCAGAACGTTCTCATCGGCGAAGACACCCGAGTGTTGCGACGTGCCAGCGACAGCAGTCAAGAAGTGCAGAGCCTTGCTGACCAGCAAGTCGTACTTGGTCTCGGCCCCGGTGCTGGAGAGAAGATTCCAGGCGTTGGTGATGAAGGGTTCGGTGTACTTTCCAAAGTCCTCGTCGTACTTGAGCGTGTAGAGCTCCAGAGCCTCACAGATATCCGCCTTGACGGTGTCGATAACACTGACTTCGCTGTCGTCATCGGTCTCGAGGATCGGGTTCGTGTACGTGAGGTACTTGTGGAGAAGCTCGGAAATGGAAGCCAGGTGTTCCTCGAAGATCGGAGGCATGTCGTGGGAGGAGAGATCGTAGAAAATCTTGATCATCAGGCTCAGGGCCTCGAACCAGCTCTTGAGGGCATCCTTGTTCTGAGTGTTCTTAGTAATCTGCTCGTCGGTCTGCACCAGCAGTTGCACGAAGGGCTGCGCGAAAGTGCTGATGACATGGTTGATCTCGGTATAGAGGTCGTCGGTTCTGAACAGAGGACGCCATCGGACGAAAATGGAGTGGGCGACTTCGAGGACACCAATGTTAACCTTGGGGTCGACAGGGGAGAAACGTTCGACGAGCTCCTGGGTCAGTGTTTGCCAACGCTCCCAGAAGTCTGAGTCGGCGATGATGCTGATAGCATCGCCGAGTTGGGTTTGAATGGTGGGTGGGCAAGAAATCATCAAGCCAATAAGCTGAGACTTGATTGTTTGCACCTCATCGCCGGGGAGCTTGTAGTTGCCGTCGGCATCGACCCAGTTGGAGCGGATGAAGTTCTTGAAGGCCAGGGCGGCGGCTAGACGAGTCTTGAGAGGAAGAGGTTCTGAGGCGACGATGTTGAGCAAGTGGAGGGAGTATTGCGGCTTGCCTTGCTCGGTCTTGAGGGCTTGCTCGGCTGTTTTGCACGTTTGTTTATTAGCATACAAACAAAGTTGGCGGGGTAGAAGGCAGCGAGCGGGATGGTTGGTGTACCTTTCTTGTGAGTGCCAGGATCTAAAGTTGCATCCAGCAGCTGGGCGATGGTGCCCATTTGGGAGGCCATCTTGACAGAGTTCGCAGCGTCGTGTAGATGGTGGTGTCGAAGAGAGGCGGTGAAAAGCGTCTGTTCTTGGACTCTTTTTCTGCGCTGAACTTTTTGGGATGGGATGTGTTGCTGTGGGGGACGAGGCTGCCTTGTACCTTAGCTGATGGAAAAGACATGGAAGATGCTGTGGGGCTGTTGCCGTTTATTGGCTGGTGACCGACAAGACACTGACAAGCGCCTGTCCCGGTGAGGTGTTGCAGTCGGAAAAACTGCGGGGAGTCAATCGATGGTTGGTGGACTGAGCTGGGAATGAAGTGCAGCCAATTGGTAAAGCCGGTGAAAGGGGAGATGAAGCCACGGTCAAAGCTGCCGAAGATAATGTCTTACACCCAAGAAGACATGGTGAATAGCAACATTGCAACGAAAACAGGTGAGAGACACGGGACTGCTCCCTCCCGCCCGCCCCTGCCACTCTGGCCGGCTCCTTTCATCTGCCAATCCCTTAGCATCAGGAAGCAAATTGGATGGGAGTTGCTGTGCCTGGCATACGTCAACCTGAAGCCTACATGATTTGAAACAGAGTGCATAGGTTGTGTTTGTGTAACCCGCCTCAGTTCAACCTCGTCCAACTCTACGTAGTTTGTATATCAGCCGTCCCACGATGCTGAGTCCGGGCCGGCGCCGACCACTGTGGATTCTTTTACCGAAACCACACAAGTATTGTACCCGTATCCAAGAGTTGGATGACGCCACAGTCTCGGACTCCCGTCACCACCTGGAGTGACTGGAACTGCACAGGTCCCGGTCCTCTGAAGCGGAATAACATTGGTGCGGAACAACCTACCTAAGCAAGATCAGCTGGCCATCCCAAGTGGGGTCTCGGTGACCTGCAACGGGGGGAAACACTGGTACGCACATTTGGCATTGCATCGGGGGGCAGAACAAGAGCTTCCACGAACTGTTGGTTCCTGCTGCAGGTACTTCCCGCATTTTCCGACCCCCCTAAAAACTTGCTACCTCCACCCCATGGTCGCCCCCCTAGCTGCGCCAACTGATGGGATCAGCATTCCGTCAAGTTTTCCACCTGGTCACTTTTCCTGCTAGTTGCACCACCAGCCTAAACCTCCAACGAAAGCCCACGATGCGATGTGATGTCGTGATAGTGCATTAGCAGCCCCGACCACTTGGCACAACCCACACAAGCATTTGCCCGACCAGACGACCCTACGGATTGTCCATCACCACACGCGACATCACCGGCCTTCCATCCTTCCAGCCTCTGTCGGTAACCGTTCGCTGCCGCCGTCTCGCTAGGCCTGCTGGTTCCATTTGCGCCGGGGACCTTGCTTGCTGCTCGTCTGCTCGTCTGCTCGCCCACCCCCTCCCACTCCCGCTTTCGCTTCGGGACCATCTGGCCTGCAGCTCGTCTCGTCGCCTTGAATGGGGGATTCCAGACCGTCGTCCCTCCCCAACTGCCCGCGGCGACTTCCCTGGCTGATTTGATAACACCTTTGCCCGTAAGTTGTCATCCGCAAATGCCTCTTTTCTTCAATCTGTTCTCATATTGCCTCTGCCATCGACCTGCCGCAAGTTGTGGGCCCTCAAAGCGTCTATCGTTATCATTTGTGATACGCATGACGGCATCAACCCACTTCCGATCTTGCCAACACTCCAAGTCGGTATGAAGATTGCTGTGTTGCAACTCTGCTAACATGCTCCGTCGCATAGTCCCGTCCAAAGGCTATCAGCAGGAGCACCGTCACCCCGACGAGCACATGTCGCCTTCGCCAGGCGATGCGCCGTCATCGCCAGACTCGACCCGCCCCAGTGGCCTGGCGAGCGTCTTCAAGGGTCTGACCGGGGCCAAGTTGACGAAGTCCCCTCCACCGAGCCTCAAGTCTGCCTCCTCGATTCTATCCCCGTTAGCCGACCACGTAAATGCCACTCGTACGAACCTAGCCGGCTTATCGCCGAACCACATGGAGTCATTCGAGCTGCTCAAGAACGGGAATGGCAACGTCGCCGATCGCATCGCGGCTGCGAACTCGCTCCGATATGCCGTTGCGGAATACCCCATGAACCCAGTGCTGGAGATTTGGTACGCTGCAAAGGCTATGATCGATGCGACGAAATCGGAGCCGGAGCGAACTGCTGGCTGGGAGCTCCTTTCGGAATGCGTCAAGCACAAGTCGTCTACAGATCTCGAGCGCCAAGAGTACTTCCTGACGCTGACGGCCCCTGCGAATTCCGAAGACTTCCACCTGCAACTGGCCACCGTAGTGGATCTCACCAATCACGGGCGTGATTTATCCGGATTCGACTATCAAGTAATTGGGGTGCTACAAAGATGGCTCCGCGAGGCATACCAAGCTGTCAAGGCAGCACGAAAGCAAGTCAGCCGCGATGCCAAGAAGAACGCCGGCAAAGCAAGAGTCTCTGCCGCTGAAGAGGAGAAGAACCTACATCAGCTTTTTACCTTCATCGGAGAGGTCATCAAGTTCAGTTCAAACGTAGCTGATGAGACTGCCATGTCAGGCCTGATGGAGACTCTGGTCGCTATTTGTCTGACCACAACTATCGAAGACGACTTGCGGGCTTCGATCAATGTCATCGACGCCATTGTCACTTTCGGCGCCTTGCCGGCCGCAAGCTTCAAGGACTGTGTCTTGGTTCTGGGATCGATATTCTGTCTTGTGCCGAGCCTGTCCAAGACCGCGTGGCACACCATCTCCATTCTGCTGAAATCCCACAGCGGTCCCGCGGCAGTGAGAGTCTTGGTGGATTTGTTGCGGCATCTCCCAGCAGATGGTAGCAGCAAAGGAAAGGACACCAGGGATATTCGGGGCGTGCTGGCTGTGTTGGAGAAGCTGTTGACCAAAAGCACGGAGAAAGGCTATCCGCCTGTTCCATTTGCACTACTCCTCGATGGGCTGGTTGCAGCAGTGCACAGCACAGATTCTGGCCGAGTTCACTGTGCTGTGCTCAAGCTGATCAATTCTCTCTTCCGGGACAGCGACGGCAAAATTCACAGCCTGATCGTCGAGGAGGACTGGTCAACACTACTATCCATCGCCGCGGAATGCTCCAAGAAGGCGCCACCAGGCATCGTCATCGGGAGCGAAATGATTGCCCTGGCAAATGAGCCTGACCGCCCGGACGGAGCCATCGGGGTCGAGTTGTTGAAGCTGATTATGCGACTGGAGGAGCTGGCTAGCCACAAATCGGGCGAGTTTGTTCCGCGGCAGATTATCATCAATTTCTTCATTGACATACACAGTCGACTTCCGGACTCGGCAGCACGCGTGGTTCTTACCTACTTCCAAGAATTCCGATGCTGTTCACCTTCGGACCTGCAGTGGGAGGAGAACCTGTCCTTAGTGTTGAAAGAGTTTTACGCCAATCGAAGCCGGAGTTCCGAAACCCGCCTTCTGTCTCTTCAGGCGGTGACCGAATCTTACGACATGATGGATCTTATCGGAGAGGGGCTTGGTGACGACGATTGTGTTCCAAACCTTATCAAGGACCTCCTCAACAACATTGCTGATGAGACGAATCTCCTCGTACTCGAATCGGTCGTCGCCTTTATGGTCTCCGTCGCTGTTTCCTCAGACTTGGAGCTCTTCAATTACATTACCGACACACTGAGGACAATTGTCGTGAACGACCGTCTGTTGTCTCCCATTGCATCGTCTGCGTCTCGGCCTACGACTCCCGTCGGCGGCGAAGGAGCTTCTCAAAGGAGTCATACAGCCTCGGGAGTCGTAACAAGAGGCTATGTCAAGTTGTTCATGCGATGCATGAACCTTGACGGAGCCAAGTCAATCAAACTATACGACACGCTCGTTAACATTGCCAAAACAAACCATTGCAAGACTGATGCTCGGTTGACGGCGATGAAACTACTCTTCCGGCTTCGAGCTGACTGGGCAAACCGAGTTTTCCTGATCAACGACACAGAATCCGAAGGCCTTGCGGCCACCCTCCTACATACAGCCTCTTCCAGGGCACGGAAGCAGGCCGAAGACGCATCGCAACCGGTGCGGACCACAAGAGCAGAACAAGGTGCCGTCTCACGGACTACGCGAGGCATTTCCTTCAGCAGCGCTGGAACCCAGGACAGAGTGTTTCCAGTCCGTTCTGCCAGCGGGGCGAAATCAACCTATCCGTACAAACAACTATGGGTCCTACCAGATCCGGAGGCCCTGCCCGAGTTTCCAACAGCCATCGCAAGCCCCATCCTGGCGTCACATGTTGAAGAGCTGGTCTCGGATATCACTGAGGAAGGCGAGCCATCCCCCGTGGAAGCGAGGCAAGTCGTTTTGAACATGGATGCTTGGCTCGATACCATTGTTCACATCATCGAGCATGGCTGTGAATGGGAGATCTACAGTATGGTTTTGGTCCATTTGCCTTCGCAACTTACAAACCATGCGATATTCCGCGGCGCAGTGCCGCAGATACAAGAGCTCCGCCGAGTCACATGCGAACAGATACGGACAAACAACTTCCAGGAGCCGCCGACCTCTACAGGTTTGCGGCGTGCCGATGTGGCTATCTGTCTCTTCCATAGTCTGACTATGATCCTGAGCTATCACGAATTCTTCCTCAAGGATCAAGAGGACGAAATCGTACAGGCTTTCGTCAAGGGTATTTCCACTTGGGAACGGTGCGCCAAGTATTGTATCCATGCCCTATCAATCTGCTGCCACGAACTGCCTCTGTCTACGAGCAAAATGTTGGTGCAAATGCTGCAGAAGATGGCACAGATCATCACGCAGCCCCATGTGGCTATGCACATTCTGGAGTTCCTTGCTTGCCTGAGCAGAATGCAGAATCTGTATGTCAATTTTCGAGAAGAGGAGTACCGGATTGTGTTTGGGATTTGTGTTCGCTACCTTCAGTACGTGCGAGACAAAAAACAAACCCAGCGAGGCAGCCTTCACAGCGAAGCATCAACGCCGACTGGTTCCACCCCAGATCTTCTGCATCCGAACGCTGCAGACGATCTGCCTCAATATGTCTATGCACTGGCGTACCATGTCATTACGTTTTGGTTCCTGGCCTTGAAGCTACCAGATCGTGCTAATCACGTCGGGTGGATTGCCAAGAATTTGCTCAGCGACGTGGACGGCGGACAAAACCCTGAAGAGCAAGCTTTGGTCACGCTCGATTTCATGCAAAGAGTTGCCTACGCTGATGCGGATGAATCTTCAGAAGATCTTCTCTTTACTAGAGAGCGGTTCGGCGAGATTTTGAAGCGAAGATGGTTGATGGGCAACAGCATCGTAACGATTGAGCAATCAACCACGACTGGGTGGTCTCAAATCACTAAGCGACAAGCCTCGGGAACATCTTCGTACATTGTGCACGAGAATTTCCGTCCACGCCCAGCCCACCAAGCCCAGTACATCTCTGATGTCTCGAGAGATGGGCAATTGACCAACAACAATATCTTGCCCAGTCACTTAATGGTTCAGTTGATGACCTCAACTCCTCAAACTCAGGACACTGCTCGACCTATTCCCCTTCCCGACGACGACGCGATCCAGAGAGCCATCAGGGTCTTTGATCGTAACTCAACTGTGGATGGTCACAAGGTTGGAGTAGTGTACATTGGTGAAGGCCAAACGCAAGAGACGGAGATCCTTTCCAATGTCTCGGGCAGCAGCGACTACGTGGCTTTTCTTAACGGATTGGGCACGTTGACGAGGCTCAAGGGCTCGAAATTCAATACCCAGGGATTGGACAGAGAATATGACACCGACGGCGAGTACACCTTTTGCTGGCGTGACAAGGTAACAGAGATGGTTTTCCATGTCATCACTCAGATGCCTACCAATCTAGAACGGGACCCTCAATGCATCCTGAAGAAACGCCACATTGGCAACGACTTTGTCAACATCATCTTCAACGACTCCGGCATGCCCTTCAGATTCGATACTTTCCCAAGCGAGTTCAACTACGTCAACATTGTCATCACCCCAGAGGCGAGAGCATCTTTCCTCACCATCAGGGAGAACCCGCCGAGTGAAGGGAAGCATCCGCCTTTTTACAAAGTACAAGTTATGAGCAAGCCCGGCTTCCCGGAGATCTCCCCAGCATCCGAAACTAAGATGGTCAGTCTGAGGGCGCTCCCAGGATTCATTCGATTGCTGGCACTCAATGCTTCCGTCTTTTGCCTGGTTTGGGCGAACCGAGAAGGCGGCGAGCATGTCAGTTCCTGGCGCAACAGGCTCAGGGAGATCAAGCGGCTGCGCGAGAAATATGGCCCTAAGAACGCGCCCAGCACGCACCAGTCGTCACATCCTCATCTGGGCCATATGAACAGTGCCTCTACGCCCTCGCCGCCTCCGACATCCCTGGGAGGCGCAGTTGTTGGCAACAGCCTCTCTGCCGTCCAGAGCGCGGATGCGTCCAAGCCTTCGGCCAACGTGCGCGACAGCTTCAGCAGCCTGCGTCGGTCTTCGGTTGCCACCTTCTTCACCAGCACAAGCGAGCAGACTAGCCATCGGAGCTCAATGCTGTCTACCACGACTAACGACACGGAGGTTTCACCAGGAAACGGCATTGACTCCCTTGTCGAGTCGGTTGACTTTTCCAAGTGGGCATAACACGAAATGTACCATTTTCTTCTCCAATTATCATAACGAAAAAATCAGGCGTGGACGTGTGTGTTGGGGCTTAATGGCGGAATAGAAAACCCATCAAAACACTCAACACATGGCGTCTTTGACGACTTCTTAGGCACGGGAGCGCGGGGTCAAAGGGGCGGCGGATCTTTGGGAACGAATACCACCAAAAGTTTTTCTTGTTCTTTGCTCTTAGAGGGACTGTCGAGTCCCGCTTGTGCGTAGGCTATTTTGATACGAAAAGAACCCTTCCACCTCTCTAACCAACCTCAATGTCGTTTTGTGTCTTGCTTCTGTGTTGCTTATGTGATTGGTGAGAGACTTCCTCGGTTGATTGTCATTGCTAAACGAGGATATGCCACCATTGACAAGTACTTTGTAGCTATTGTGCAACAAATTCGTCGTTGATACTTGGTTGATGAGGCTCAAGGGGAAATATTACAAGATTCCGGGCTTGACTAGACATGTTATTCGTATGATCAGCACTTCCGACAACACTACCAACGGTGGTGACAACAATCGTCACTCAAGGTTGCATTCACGCGGTACTAGGTGGGCAGAAGCACTCGAGTCGACTCCAGTCGTAGAGTGACTAAGATGGAACAATAAACATTGGTGAGGTCCGCCAGTCCCGATGAAGACCATACCGGATGGTACCAACATCGAATCTTCGCAATCAAGTCTTTTCAACAACAATACTATCAGCATACCTTCAAACCCATCTCAAGCCGACGCACTCCATTCTAAACATGTCATGTAACCACTTATACTTCTTAGTTGTTTCTCTACCTAGGGCGTGATCAATGACTGCGGTAAGAACTGAAATGTGCAATAAGAATTTCAAATGTGCAATAACACTAGCCACAAGTACCCTTTGAACTCAAATTATGTTGCACTAGGCCTAAAACAAGAGGGTACATTATGATTATAGTTCTAGATTATAGAACTTTACGTTATTACATATTTACTATATACTTTAATAAAAAAAGACTTTATATAATATAAATTATTAGTTATTTTTTATTTTTTTATATAAATTCTTATTATATTTAAAACTTATATTAATATTATTATAGTTATTATTATACTTTAAAAACTACTTTTTTATTATTTATTATTATAATTAATTATTATAAATAATTTATTATAAAATTTAATTATTTTATTATAATAACTATATTTAATATTATTATAATAAAATATTAAGCTAATAAAAATAAAAATAAAAAAAAAGTTATTAATAATAATAATACTATAATTATATATTAAATATATTAAAAGCTTTTTTTTAATTTAAACTATTATTTTTTATATTTCTTTTATTTTAATAAATAATAATTTTAAGTATTATTAAAATAACTTATAAATAATATACTTTTATAGTTGTTTTAAAACCTTTTTATTAAATAAAAAATACTTATTTATTTATTTATTTTATTTTATAATAATAATTTTAATTAATAAGCTATTATTTACTTTTTTTATATTAATTAATTAATTATATTTTTAGTTTAAAATAAAGTTTTATTATACTTTATAAAGCTTTATAAAGTATATATTATTTTTTATAAAAAAGCTAAAGTCTTAAAAAAAATTAAAAGTAATAAAAAACTAAATAAATATTTTACTAGTTATATTAAAATAGTTAATAATATACTTATTAATATATATATTCTTATTACTACTTAAAAGAAGTAATATAATTAAAAAAAAATAGTTTTTTAAAATATCTTTACTACTATTTATTTTAATAATAGCTTTTTATTTATATTTATTAAAGCTAAAAAATTAATTTATAATACTAATTTAATTAATTTTATAAATATTAAAAAGTTTAAAGTCTTTAAAAGCTAATATTTCTTAAAAAATATAAAGTTTAGTACTTAAAATAATATTATTATTTTTTATTTAAAAACTTATTATTATTTATAAAATTTTAAGGATATAAATAAACTACTAAAAATAGCTTAAAAGTTATATAATCTTTAGTATAATTATTTTTAAATAATTATTAAATAAATATTTAGTTATTTAAAATAAAAATAAAAAATAATTACTTTTTTAGCCTTAAAGTATAGCTTAAATATATAAATATAAATTATTTATATAGTAATAAGCCTATATAACTTTTTATTTTACTATACTAAGAATAAAAAGTATAATAGTAATATAAAAAATTAACTTAATATAAATAAAGTTAATAAAAAAGCTAATAAGTAATATTTAGGTTAAAGTATAAGATAAATTTATAAAAAAATAATTAAAATAATATAAGAATAATAATAAATATAAAAAAAATAAGAATTATTATAACTAATTATTATAATTTATACCTTTTCCTTTTAAATATCTTTTATTATCTTTTTAATAAAATTAAAGTTATAAGCTTATATAGCCTTATAAGCTATACTAAAAACCTTTTTTTAAGAAGTTAAGTATATCTTAATAAATAACTAAAGCTAAAAATAAAACAATAAAACCTCTTATAAAGACTTAAAAGCCTTTATTATTAAATAACTAAATCTTATAGTTACCTTTAAGTTAAAAGTAACTTTATTTTATATCTTTATAAGACTAGAAAAAATCTCCTTTTAAGAAAATAAAGTAAAAAAGCCTTAAACTTATTTTTATATTAATAATTTATAGTAATTAGTTATAGTAATTAGCTTACTTCTTTAATTAATTACTTAATAGTTAGCTTAAAGTCCTAAGTTAAGTAATAATATTAAATAGTATAAAGAAAACTTTTATTTTATTAACTTATAGTAAAGTAATATTAAAAAGCAAATTACTTAAAAAATAATTAATTAATAAAGTCTACTAGTTATAAAATTTTAATTTTATTTACTTCTTTTTTTAATAAAAATAAGAAATAATTTTTAAAAGTTTATAGTCTCTAAAAGTAAAAACCTTTTAATACTTAATTAAGACTAACTAAAAAAAAAATTCCTTTTTTATAAAGATATTTATAGTAGCTAATAGACTTTAACTAGACTAAAGAAAGCTTACTTTAAAAATAACTTTAAAGTAAATAGAAAGTTAAACCTTTAAGTAATAAACCTTAGTAAAAAGCTAATTAAAAGCTATATACTAGTAGTTAGTTATATAATAGTACTTTTAGTAAATAAGATCCTAGTTTTATTAGTAATTTATAATAATTTTTTATAGTAATTATTTACTTTTTTATATTTAGTAATAAGTACTTATATCTCTTATTAGATATTAATACTTTTAATAAAAAAAGAACTAACCTTAAAGTTATAATAATCTTTAAGATTAATTAACTTTTCTTCTATTTACTTTTCTAAGCTAAAAAAAAAATCTCTTTTTAGTTATTATTATTATTATTATTCTAAATAACTTAATTATTATTATTAACCTAAATAAAGGCTTAGTTCCTAAAAGAGGCCTAATAAAGACTAAGTTATATAATAATAATTCTTAAATAATTACCTTTTACTTACTTATTTTTAAGGTTAAAAATAAATATAAAATAAATAAAAAGAAAATTATTTATATTATAGTAGTAATATTATTAATTACCTTAGCTTTTATATTAGCCTTAACTAAAGCTATACTATTAATATATAACTAAAACTTCTTAAAAGTAGCTAGTTTATAATTTTTCTAGGTAATAAAGGACTTTTTAGTCTTCTTAAGCTCTTTTATTTCCTTTATTATTTCCTTAATATACTTATAAGCTTTTTTAGTATACGTATTCTTAAAGTAGCTATTATTAGCTTTTTGCTTTATACTAGCACTAAAGCTTAGTAAATAGCCTAGAGAAATATTAGTTAAGTTATTATAATTAATTACTATAAATAAATAAATATAAATAGACCTTATAAAGGCTAAGAGAAAGATATCCTTAATAGTAAATAGAAAACTAAGTAAAAATTAAAATACTTTTAGAATAAATAAAATAATTAGTTTTTTACCTTTAAATTAATTTTTTTTTAAAGTTATTATTATTATTATTAAAAAAAATAAAAAAAATTAAAAAAAATAAAATAAAAATAAGTTAAAAATAATAAATAGAATAACTATAAATCACTTTATTTTTTATACTTTTCTTAACTATTAATTATATTTACTTTACTTATATTCTTTTACCTATTTTTTTTTCTTTTTTTTTAACTTTATTTTTTCTTTTTTAATAATAATAATAATAATAATAATAACTTCTATAAGTTATTTTTTTTTTTTTATTTTTCTTAAAAATTACTAATTATTTAGACCTACTATAATACTAGTAGCCTAAGCTTTTTATAAGTACCCTTTAAAAAAAAGTACTAAAAAGCCTTTTATAAAAAAAAATAGCGCTAAAAAGTCCTTTATTATTAAAGCCTTAGTAAAGAAACCCTTAGCTAAAAAGACTACTAAAAAAACGCCTAAAAAGGTTATAGCTACTTCTCTAAAGAAAAGATACTAGAAGGCTAGTAGTAAATACTTACTTAATTACTATAATAATTAACTTATATCTTTCTAGTTATCTAATTAATTACTATTTATACTAAAAGAATTACTATTATAAAAAAAGATATAAACTATATTAAGTTTATTCTTTTTACTATAAAGCTAATAAGTAAAAACTAATACTATTATTAACCTCTTCTAAAGTCCTTTTAGTCTCTTAAATAAAAGCTATCTAGTTTTAGTTTTAGTTTAAATAAAGAAAAAAAAAAACTAGCTTAACTACTATATAAAAGCTTATACTTAAGTAATACTATAAAAAGCTTTAAGAAAAGAACTATAGTTTAATAAGGCTTTAGAAAAAGAACTATAGTCTAATAATTAAAAAAGATATTATAAAAGGAAATAAGAATATTACTTAAGAGATATTTCTATAAATAGGCTAATACTAAAAATTACTATAAAAGATTACTATAAATAGAAAAATTTTATTACTAATACTTAACTTTTTACCTATAAACCTTTATATAATATGTTTTCTTTAACTTATTACTTAGTAATAAATTCTA